TGCCTTACCATTAATAACTCGTAATTTGTTCACTACTTTCAGCTCTTTTTGGAAACCAGTGTTTTCAGATCAAGTTGATGGGTCTGTTTGCAAGACTTGATCATCTAATTCAAATCTTTTAAAACAATTTTTAATTTCGGCAGAAACGAAATATTCAAATCCCTTTTGCATAAAGTCAGAAATTTTTTCATCTTTTATTAATACTCGATTAATATTTTCGTCACATGATTCATGATTTAAAGCATCAATCATCTTTTGCTTCAATTCTAATGGCAAAGTCAAATAAAAAAATACCAATGCGATAGCTTCAGGGCGTAAGTACCATAAATGGTTCCTCAATTTATGCAAAGTAATTCGAGAAATATTATGATCAATCGTTCGATATTCGTAAAACTTAGACAGAAACTTGAAATCCTAATATGATGTTTTAGTAGTAGAAGACACATTAAACCATGCTTCAACGTAGATACTATATATGTTTAGGAACCATTTATAGTATTTTAGCTATCGTGAAGCTATCGCATTGGCATTTTTTTATTTGACTTTGTCATTAGAAAATAAAAATAAACGAGTATTAATAAAAGATGAAGAAATTTTTGAATTTATGCAAAAGGGATTTGAATACTTCGTTTCCGTCAAAACCAAAAATTTTTTTAAAAGATATGAATTAGAAAGATGATCAATTCTTGCAAACAGACCCATCAACTTGTGGTCTGAAAACACTAGTTTCCAAAAAGGACTGGAAGTAGTGAATAAACTATGAGTTATTAATGATACGGTAGAAAGGGGTGTTCAATTGATGGAAAATTATAATAGATTATTCACAAAGAACGCAGAACAAGCACAATATATTTTGCAAATTGTGAATGATTACCACCGTCGGTTTCCCCGACTATAAAAAAGAGATATTGTCTAAAAAGATATAAGATCTTATAAGACTGAAAGTTATATAATAAAAATAATCTATATAAAATGTGTTAATTTGTAAATGTGTAATTATCTTAATTCATTACATTAAGATATGATAAAATAGTCTATTATTATTAAGATACAATAAAATAAAATATTCTAAATTTTTCTTAAATACGAATTACTTTTTTATCTTAATTACAGCATTTTATATCAACGGTTTCTAATATTGTTTTTATAAATTATTCTTAAAATTTTCTAAAATGACCCTTTTATGTTAAAAATCAAGAATATATATATATTTTTGTGCCTCCCTTGATTAAAAATATTCAAGTCAATTAAGAAGATCACTAACAATTTTTAATCTATTTCCTGTTTTTTTTATTTTTCTCGAAAATCGTTCGTCATACGAAAAAATGAACATGGCATAAAATATGCCCCATATTCAAATTTACAACTTTTGTTTGAAACTTTTTTTGATAAGTTCAATAAGTTAGAAGATATTCAGAAAATCGATGATTTTTTCATTTTATAATAAAGTTCAGTAGCCCGGCGGCACGTTTTCTTCTTATCCGATTGGGCTGAAATTTTGCAGATTTTTTTTTCTTAAATTGGAACAGTTTTGGGAAATGCCGCAAACAAAATTCGAAAAAAAATTTTCATCAAAAGTAAATAAGAGTCACGCTAATGTATATGATATCTTTGTGTCTATGATCTTATTATATCTAAAAATATTATTTTTATTATTAAAAAAGTTTTATATATACATAAATGTTATAAATTAGATATATACATATATTTATTTTCTTTTTATACATTTATTTATTTATATATACATTCATTTATTTGTTTATATATTTATTCTTTTGTAAAATCAGAAATAAGTGTCGAATCGGTTGAACGCATAATTAGTGCATATTAAAGCCGTTGTACACTGATTTAATTTATATACAAATAAAATGCAAATATTTCGAATTATAAAATACAGATTTTACTTAACAGCAATAAAATATATTGGGAATTTCATAGTTTAATCCATTTTTATATTTATATTAAACGCATAATTTTACGTCATTTTGTGTACGATGGCTTTAATATGTAACAATGTGCACTAAATGCATCCAATCGAATTCACTATTACTCAAACAACACAGAGTCTAAAATCAGGACATAAGACATTTTCAAGACATCTTTGACCATTTCTTAGACGGTTCTGCAAAAATGTTTTAAGATGTCTTATTATCAGACATCCTGATTTTACTTTGCATTGTCTGAGTACATTTTGTAGCTTCACGATTAATATTCTCTAACATCGAATTCGAGAGATCATTTATATGCCTTCACGCAGTACGCACACACGCACGTGCATCCACAAGTACAAGCGCAAACACGCCGGTCGCTGCACCTTTCAGGCTGCGCAGTGGAGAGTTCATCACGGGTTTACACGGCCGTGCACGCGTATTTCTTTATGCCATCGTGCGATATATCGCGCGTTGTCTATTTCTCCCACGCTCTCCTCCGTGATTTAGCCTCGCGCTTGCCGTCCCTCCCGTTCTTTACGATCAATCTTTAGGACCGTACATACATTACCGTCGAAAAACCCCTAACATCCATACTTTTACACAGAATTAAAATTATATCCATTTCTACCAATGTAAATTAATTTTAATCTCTATCAATGTAGATTAATTTTAACTTAACTTAATTTTTACCTTTTTTTAGTTAGAGAATTAAAAAAAAGATAAATAATAAGTTATAAACCAATTAAGATTAATTTTCTATAGCTGAACTATAGTGTACATTTTTGAAATTTAAAATAAAATAGATATATTGATATTTGGCGAAATCGAGAAGGAATTAAGTTCTAGTGCAGTCTAGTGCAAGAATAAAAAATAAATCACAAGATTAATGTACATTTGTAAGACTTTCTCGTAATTCATATTTTATCAGAATACGCACTTTTCAATTAAAGCAAAAGTCTGTTCGTCTTAATATAGTTTCAATTAGTTAGGCATTACATTAATTTTAGTTTGCTTTTTTCAATTTTTTTTTAACTTTGAAGTTTTCACTTATTTTAAATTATAACATAACGATATATAATTCGTTAAAATTAGAAGTCATCATTTGAGACAATTCGAGTTGCTTCGGGAACAAAGCAGATAGCTACTCCGCTACTCGATCAGTAAACACTGATTAACGGTAACATTACATCAATATTATAATTTCCTACTCAATAATATAAATGTAATACAATACACGTTGTATTCTCTAAAACTTTTAGAATGAATTCACTCTTATGGCTACTGCACACTGGACGCGATGAGCGATGAGCGACGAGCGATATCCAATAAAAACTCTGCTTTTTCTCACGTGACGATGCAAAGCAAACCTCTCATTGGATATCGCTCGTCGCTCATCGCTCATCGCGTCCAGTGTGCAGTAACCATTATAGGTTGAAAATTGAGTCACTTTTTTTCAGGAATGGCTCAGTTCAATCTTTGGAATGAGATTCCACTCTAAAAAAATTAAAGAGTACATTACAGATATTATATTGTGAGTAAAAAATTATAACATTACGACATTAATGTTATATTGCTGTTAGTTTGTGCTTACTGGGTAAGAATTATTAAATTATGTTATAAGAGCCACCTAATAAACGAGAATAGATTTAAATGGATTGAAATTTTAATCCATTTGAATTCATCCGAATGCGTACTTTTATAGCATTCATGGTATTCTAGTTTTACTTTTTTTTTATATTCAATTTGATGGAAAAACTTTTTTTTAGATTCAGTTGAATTGAAAAATTGCATTTCCTATTCAGAATTTTGAATTGGACAGTATATTCGCGATGCACTTAAAGAACTGAAATTTTTTTATATTGAAAGGCATAGGGATATGTTTTTCATGTAATTCCTATAAATGAATAAAAATGTATTGCTTTGGTGAAAATTTTTCTCAGAATTTTTCCTATAATTTTTCAGAATTTTTACATAATTTTACATAATTTTCTCACATTTTTTATACGAATTGGAACATTTCTCAGAAAATCTACATCTTTTCTCAGAATTTTTCGTATATGTTAATTATAAAATATTGTAAGATTTTTCTAAGATTTTTTGTAAGTATAATTTAAAAGTATTTATTTTTAAATTATGGGATAAGAAATTTCAGAATTCACTTGTGTGAAAAATTCTGAAAGAAGATGTAAACTTTCCGAATATTTCTGAGTATTTCTGAAAAATGTTCCAATTCGTATAAAAATTATGAGAAAAGTTTTCGCCAGGGTGGGAATAAAAAGAATTCATTTCAACGTTCACAGATGCGTACCTCTGAAAATCTGAATCAATTTCAATCCATTTCAAAATCCATTCTCGTTTGCTGGGTATCGAAAGCCCGTGCTCGTGACATTCGCACACGTCAGCATATGCCACGGTGACGGCGGCCACAGGGCACAGTGGTGGCCACAGAGCCAGTGAGACCTACAGCTGTGAACCGCGGAGTCGGCGGAGTGCAGACTGCAGAGTGCGGACGACGAACGCGACGAACGCACTGAACGCGCGCAGCTGTAGCACGAACGCCACGAACGCACGAATGTGAGTCGCTGCTCACTGCTCGATGCGCTGAGCGCTCTGCAGCTGATGCGGTTCGCTGGCTCGCTGCTGAGCCATCCGCTGCCGCTGCCGTTGTCCTGATACTCCTGATTGTCCTGCGCGCGTCCGTCTGTGTGTTTTGTTTGAGAAAAATGCTCCGCGTCAAGAGATTCGACGTCGCCCCCGCTGATTTCGCGTGATCAGCGCCCGCGTGTGTGCGAAACGCGCGGCGATAAAACCTCGACCACGATCGAGGCTTCAAAAAAAAAAAAAAAAAAAATAAAAAACAGTATTCGGCCAAAGGATCCCTCTCTTCTTTGTCGCGAAAAAAATCCGTCGCCAAAACCGTCAGTACGTGATGCGGCGCGCGGAATTCGATGTGGCGTCCGTGAATTCGCTCGGTTCGCTTCCTCCGCTCACGCTCATCCGGGTAATGGAGCGCGAGGAGCGGAGGTAGACAAAGGGCTGAGAGCCGCGCACGTCTCTGCAGTCTGCACGTCTCGTAGTTCGCTCTCGTCATCGCCGCGGATGGCCGTGGTCGAGCCGCGAGCGTCTCGGCGATTTATTTATATATCCACGAGAGACATGCGGTCACTAACGTAGAAAACGCGTCGCTCGCTCGGAAATGATCCGCGTTCCCGAGGGCTCTTCGTTTGCGAGGAATTCGGATTTTCGGAATTGATCTAGCCAAACACGCTCGGGGTTGTTGTCCGTCGACGACGCGGTTGTGGTTTCTTCGTGGATCATCTGTTTCTCTTTTGTCTCCGGAGACAGTGAGGGTGAATTGATGCGACATTAGCGCGACATGTATCGCGATCGTTCAGGATTCTTCAGGATTTCCGAGAAAACTCGAGTAACAGGGCTGCGTGCGTTGTTGACGGTGGAGCGGATCGTGGAGCGTAGACTTTAGAGTGGCGATATATCCATTATGGAAGCGTTGCGTTTAGCTATACAGTGAGTGCTCCTTTTTCGGCAGATGTACCTCGTGATGTATTGTTTTGGTCATGCTTACGCAAAAAGCAATGATCGTAGACTGTCACTGAAAGAAACGATCTGTACAGTTATCGAAAACGTATTTTGTTTTAGCTTATTTTCAGCAATATTTTAAAATTGTGAATAACAGAATACAATTTTTAAATGTATTGTTTATCTTAATAATTATAAGTTGATACGTAAAATATTTTATAGAAACTTTTATCTTCATGTGCAAAAACTTTTTCAAATCTTAAAACAAGAAGTTATTTTTAAATAAATTATTGATTATATAATGATAATTATGTATGAATTATATATATTTTTAATTTATTTTTATTTAAATTATACTTGTTTCATACATTATGTATATTATATATATATATATATATATTTAATATTATTTTTTGATATTTTGTATGCTGCAATATTTGAATTATGTTGACTTTAATTTGTAATTTTTATTGTTTTTTTTAGGACGCGGCTTGGGGAGAGGATGGTCAGCATGAGCTCCATGCTCGTAGAGACAGTCAGTATAAATTATGAAGACTTTAATGAGAGTTTTTTAACATGTGGTACCTGTCTCTGCGTTTACGATGGCAGCGAGCATACACCTAAATTACTACCATGTTCACACACGGTATGATTTATGTATATAATAAAACATAATTATATATACGTACTGTATGTAATATATATCTCGATCTTATATATCTTGATAATCTTATCTCTGTTTAGGTATGTTTACATTGTTTAACAAGAATTGCTGCGTCTCAAACGCGAGATACAGGAGCATTTAGATGTCCCATTTGTAGAGAATTAATAACTATTCCTCGTGGAGGGGTACCTGCACTGCCCCCGAGTTTTCTCGTAAACCAACTGCTGGACCTTATGTCTCGACAAAGACGAGAGGTATATTTGAGCAGAATATTGTCAATTTGTTATAGATGAATTTTTTTCTTAAATCTCAATATCATATCTATTTACTTGCAGGTCATCCCAAAGTGTTCAGTTCATATAAATCAGGAATTATTATTTTGTGAAACATGTGATACAGTGTTTTGTACAGTATGTACTAGTGGGACACATGCAGGAACGTCACCTGGATGCACAGAACATACAATTATCCCTTTTAGTATTGCGATAAAAAGAATGTCCGAAATATTGTTGTATAAAGCTAACGAGTGTATATCCAAGGTGAAAACTAATTTTTCTTTTTTAGTTTTTGTTTTATATTAATAAGTCAATATATATTTTTTAATGTGCCTTATTCTTATTTTTTTAATATTATATACTTATATTCTTTATATATCTGTTGATGTAAATGTATATATAATGCTTTTATCCAAAAAGCCATTTGAAATACAAGTATATTGTTTATATTTTAAAATTTTTTACGAAAATATCTTATAATAATTTTTGTAATAGTGTTGCTTAATTTTTATATTTTACTACACTTGCGTATTAAATAACGCGTACAAGTTATGCGCGCGCGCGCCCACACGCACGCACACACATACACACACATACAATAAGATATATATATAGCTCGATCCTTACTGAGTTAAGAGTTACGTTTTTAGTTAACACAGGCACAAGATTCTGTGAGCACGGAACTGCAACGTTTGGAAGCCTCTACGGAAAAGTGTTTGAGCGCAGTAGATACGGAATTCGCTGAGATCATCGCAAAGATAGAGAAACGTCGCACGGAATTGCAAGCTGCCGTAACCGCTGCTGCTCGTGACAAGAAACACGTACTTGAAGAACAACATTCTCTTATTGAAGCAGAGAAAACCAAAGTGGAGAGAGAATGCGAAGGATTGCAATATCAGGTACAGGGTAATAAAAATATATTGATATAACGTTACTTCTCGCGCGTATCATTTTACAAGTGAGATTCAATCTTACAGGTCGAGGTTCGAAATATTACTCAACGTATTAACAGCTTGTCGGATCAGCTTGACGCAGCAACCGCTCTCAGCGAACCTAAGGAGAATGCCTTTATTACATTTGAGTTTAATCATAACGACGCTCTCTTTCAATTAGAGCAAGCACTGAGTAACGTGGGACGAGTACGTTCTAGTACAACATTACCAGGTATCTTAAAGATTAATAATGTAGTAAAGTTCTTTCGCTTTAAAAAGAGTTACTCATTTATTACAATGCGTCGTGTGTTTCTTCTGATGACATAATTTAACATCAAGATGTAATACGAATCAGATGCTTTAAAGGCATTTATAATACGACGTATTTTCTATATGTATGCCTTTTGCATCAGGTTTGTGCCGAGCCAGATTGAAGGATCTAGCAATAGTAAAGCTACAAACAATCGTCGTAGTCGAAACGGTAGATTATCACGGTCATCCTCGAAATGTCGGTGGTGATCTTATTAGCGCCGAATTGACGCTTGCTGATAACATGCATGCAGAAAGTCAGAATGTTCCTATTGAGACAGAAGTGAAAGATCTGGAGAATGGAACTTACGAAATTTACTTCCGGCCACCAACTGCAAGTCGATATGTTTTGAAAGTGTCGGTGTTCGAACGACCTATTAAAGATTATCCGCTATTTTTCGATACGACTGAGCACAATGAACCTATTAAAACATATGGCAGACGTGGTAACGGAAAAGATGAGTTTCACCAGCCTGTTTCAGTCGCAGTGGACGATGAAGGAATGATCTATATTTTAGATACTGGAAATTCTCGTATTAAGGTTTGTTTGGAACAATATAGAGAACATAGTATTTTACAAAGTATTTAATTCTTTTCATATTGTTTCAGGTACTCAATTGTGATTTGGAGTTTCAAAGGCACATAAACAATGAAGGCTTAGAGGGTCGCAGTTGTACGGGAATAGGTATATCTCAACAAGGTCTCGTAGTCGTGAATTGGCGAACGCGAAAGATTACGGAAATGACTTCATTAGGTGATACAATCCGATCTTTCACGCATAATGCATTTCAAGTTAGTGATTTTTATCGCAAACACGCACAATACACTTAAATATTTTTTAATTGTGAAGTTGTTTTTATGTTCTAGGAACCCATAGATATTGCAGTGGACAACAGTTACGGGCACATACTTGTCGCTGACAACGGTCAAAGCTGTGTATTCGTATTTGATTCAGACGGCAAGATACTATTTCAGGTTAATTTTTATTTACATAAATATATATATAAATTTTCATTGCAAGTTGTTTCATATAGTCCTCGTATAGTCATCACGAAACATTAACAGGTTGGTAAGAGAAGCACGTTCAAGCTAATCAGTTCTGTAACTGTCGGTCCGGCTGGTGAGATTTTAGTTGCCGATAGCAGAATTCAAGTGTTTTCTGCGAAGGGAGATTTCTCCGAAGAAATATATCCTGAGGGCAAAGGTTAGTTTTATATATAACTATATATTTGTTTGAAATATTGTTTAACTGAAAATGAATCGAAAGATATACATATTGCTGCGACATAGTATACAAAAATAGGAAACATTTTATCGTGTAACGAAGATAATTTTAGCATATCTAATTTATGTACGATAGGAAAAGGTACCTACGGAGGAATAGCTGTAGACGCAGATGGCAAACTTATTGGTACTCGTACAGACAAAGGTCGTAGCATAATACAAGTTCTAAAGTTAGGGGGAGGTAATATCTTAACCGAAATCGATTCACACAGCTCGAAATTGCGACGTCCCTCAGGCATAGCTGTGCTACCAGATAATCACCTAGTGGTGGTGGACTTGGGCAATGATTGTATAAAAAAATATAGGTACTGGTAAAAAGTCATTTATTTAATCATCAAAATTCAAATTGCAAACGGGAAGAAAACTCATTGTGAAAGTACCAAAAGTCAGTCTAATTCAAAATTATTTATTCAGATTTTTTTGTGGAACAAAAACATCACTTGTAATATCACATATTACGAATGTAATGCCTACGTTTTTATAAATTTTTATATATAATTTATAAATTAGTATAAGATGTGAGATAAAATAGTAATGTCGAACTTGACATAAACTCTTTCTCTATTATCCTGGGTATTTCATGTCCGATCCGATTTCTGTTCGAAACGGATCCGGCGTTTCTTATTCTCTCTTAAAAAAGTTTATGTTGAAGTAGACATCGAGGTAAATGGTTACCATATAGCCTTAAATCGACGCACAAACTACATAATTAAATACGAGCTATAAGGAGCATTAAACCATGCATAGTTGAAATTAGTGATAAATTTAATTTATTACAATTGTTAAATATGTGTTAGTAGACGTTTCGACCAACATCTGGTCATCTTCGGTACATTAATGACTTAATGGTAATTTGATTACATATTACATAGCGGTATAACTAGATTAATTTTTAATTAAATTTATGTATTAATATGAGTTAATTTCGTTATTCGTCTGAATCATAATTTGTCATCAAGAAGGAGATGGATCAGAATAACAGAATTTGGAAGTTCTTGTTAATGTGATCAATCTCCTTCTTGACAAATTATGATTCAGACGAATAACGAAATTAACTCATATTAATACATAAATTTAATTAAAAATTAATCTAGTTATACCGCTATGTAATATGTAATCAAATTACCATTAAGTCATTAATGTACTGAAGATGACCAAATGTTGGTCGAAACGTCTATTAACACATATTTAACAATTGTAATAAATTAAATTTATCACTAATTTCAACTAGTGCGTGGTTTAATGCTCCTTATAGCTCATATTTATTTGTATAACCACTTTTGTCATTAATTAATACATATTTAAAGTTAGATGACAAGACTAATTTAAATTTAAATCAAAAAGAGAAATTTATACATATATATATACACATTGTTCTGAAACAATTAAATAATTGTAACTAACGGTTTTAATATTGTAATTATATTTTCTATGGATAAAGTAATAACTTTTACGCATAGCTGCGAGTGCTATTCTCCAATTGCAAGTCGATATCTGCAAATTAATTTCATTTTAGGATTAGGAAATAAAAAATACATTTTTCTCTGAAAATTATATAAATTTCCATTAGCAGTGAATTTGTGTTTTTGAAGCAGATAATTTTTGTTTTTAAAGCAATAAATTTGTATTTTTAAAGTAGTGAATTTGGCGACCGCGGCTGTCAATTTTTCTGTAAACAGCACGGAATTCAATTCTGCATCACTCATTTTTGTGAAAAAAAATTTTTTTTTAAGAACTTGGAGTTGTATTTTTTTTCAAAATTTTATATATCTCTTTTATTCGACTTAGGATTTCTTTTATGACTTTTTCGATAATTATATTATACTACATTTTATTATTTTCCAAAATAAAGTTTGAATATTTGTTTTACAAAATTAAAAATATGTTTATAAATTTTTAGAGATTTTTTAAACCATTTTAAATAGGTGAAAAAAAATGAACGAATTCGAGATATCCACGATAATAGGAATACAGCATCGAATTGAGCATGTAAGGATTGTCAAAATAAACTTGACATTACTATTTTAACTTCGATTTGCTATATATAGTACCATATATATTACGGTTTATAGTTTACCTTTTCATCTAAATTTATTTAATTTTTTTTGTGGTCAGTGTTGCTTTCTCTTGTTTTCTGCATATCTGTATAAGGAATACAAAGTTCTTACCATTCGTAAAACAAAGTCATTCGAAATGCTCAGTACTTATTGTATGTATACTTTTTATATTTGATAATTTTTTAAGTCATTGCGATTAATATTTAATCGTTTGAATGCATAAAACAACTTCGTTGTTGATGATTAATCTAGATATATCGGTGGATGATAATCCTTTCCTGATTTTTATAAAATTAAGCTTAAAAGTTTCTCTTCTTTGCAAGTCAACCACAGATTCATATATGACAATTGCAATTATAATTTATCATATATTGAATGTTGTAAAAAATAATATATGCAAATAATAATTAATTTAATTATTTTAAAATTGTAATCTAGGTGCCACAGAATCTTCAATCGAAAAATAATTTTTTTCTTTTCATTATTAGTGAATCTGAAAAGATACTGTACACAATCAATAGAGGAATCAAGACCTTTAACGGTCTAGCTGGGTTTTAAGTGCTTGTATAATTCTATGTGAATTTATATACTACGTATGTAGTTCTTTAAACCGCGCGCCGAAATGATTTTTCGGTCTTGAAACGCAAACTTCACTAAACTACCGCAACAATACCACAAGTTAAATTAACTAGCAATTTAACAATGAAAAGATACTGTATTTGTTTCATCAACCAATTTTTTTAAATATTAGTAGAACGCTTTTGTATTAATAAGTTGTCTAATTACCGTTGTTGCCAATTATTTGAGACATATTTTCTACAAGTTTCACATAATGTGTCTAATAAGAGCGTGACAAATTTTTATTTAGGAATTGTTACATCAAAAACTTTTTAACGAGTAGATAGCATTTTTTCTCCTACGACACATTATACAAAGAGTCTTTAGTTATTGTCTGACTTTTGCTAGAAAACGACATATTTAACGATGAGTACTGTGTACACTAAAAAAAATTTGAAGCTGTTTTTCTTTTCATGCACCCGAAACGATCGAAAATGTCGTAGAAAACGGCTGCAAAAAAATCCAAGGCATTTATAAGCAAGCGGATAAAATGGTATGAACTATGAAGCGGTAAAATGGTATGAAACAATAAATACCGTTGATTTGTCGCGCTCTTCTTAGACAGATTATACAAGCATAAGTTTATCTATAACAAGATAAAATTGAATTGAAATACAGTTACACGAATGTTTATTCTATAAAACAAAACGATAAGTAATAAAACTAAAATTAAAACAATAAATTTATATTACTTTAGATAAAACTGGTCTTTAACTATCTTGTTTTTATCAAATATTTTAATTAATATTTGCAATTGATCGATTTAACGCTTAAAGAGATTTTTCGATTGGAAATATTATATTTTCATAACAGGATTAATATTTTCTTTATCTAATGTATTTATAAATCTTTTAATTATTTTAAAAAGATTATATCGTGGCACTAGATTATCAAAATAATCTGAACAATTTGTCTTAATTTGTTTCAACAAGGAGAGTATCATTATTCGCAGATGTATAATGTTATATAGAAGTATTATATATACACTGCCATTCTATATTATTTTAAAATACATCCTTTCTATGATAGAATGCAGAGCTTTGCATTACATAAAATCAATCATATGAATAGCTTCATCATATGATTGCTTGGATATCATATATCGAGATAAAAAAGTTTCAATAAACTATGAGCATCTTTTTTAATTAAAGTTATGAAAACATTTTTCTTAAATTTGTGAAACTATTAATATTTTAAAATTATTTCACGTTTTCTTCATTCTATCTGTTACATTTCTTACACTTTATTTCTTCTTTTTTTCTTCTATTTTATTTTTGTATTATAGCATTTATTACTTGCAAAAATTTCTTGTGTTCCTAACAAACACACACACACACACACAAGAAATTCGACACTACGTGATTTTTAACAAAAAACGTAAACTATAATTAGTGTAAGATAGCTACGCAAATAACTAGAAATATGATAAAAATTGTACATATGTCTTTTCAGTATTATCATACATTTTGATAGAATTGGCGACATGGTTTGTTTATCTAGAGATGGTTTTTAAATTTCGTAAAAGACATGATTCTTTCGACAATGACGCATTTTTTTGAAGGCCTACATCAGCCATTCATCATAACTGAATTGTTATTAAAAGCACAATTTTTATAAATTTCACCGTACAAATGACTCCATTGTCGAAACATATTTAACAACATATACATTGTGTAAGTTATTCTGGATAAATTATGAGAGACTGGCATGAAAATTTAAGCAGGATTTATTGCGTCGCTCGATTTCTTTTTTGTACATCCAGAAATATTCAATGCCCGTCTGAAGACTATGGTTACAATCATGAAGTATTAGCTAAATATCATTATGATGCATATCTACTTATCCTTCGATACTTACTTCTTGACACTGAAAGTGATAAACTTACGTACGGCTTACAGTCTCTATTTCTTTAAAAAGCAGATTATTTTTCCACGCAACATATATCCACACAGAATCAATTGATTATTTTTTTCACGCAATATACTTATATATATATATATATATATCTCTTATATATATATATATATATATATATATATATATCTCCATATAGAATCAATTCTTAAAAGAATTAGTCTTAATATTTTTATGCCATTTTATCTTTTACGTGACTTATACGAGTTGCATTTTTTAGAATCATTTGCCATGTTAATATCGACGAGAATTCTTGTTATATCGTAAAAATTTTTCTTGGAACATGCAAAGCTATATTGAACCTACATGACATGCAATTTAAATTTTAATGAAAATGGATAATGATGAGTTTTGCATTTTTACAACGAATGCAAAGTTTTTCAATAGCTTCCTATTTTTCGGATTGTTTCGTAGAGATACGACATTCCTTGTGAACTGCTTTGCAGAGTGATCTATCATAGGCTACATTTAATATAAACTGTCGCATATTGCTTGTATGTATGTATGAATACGACGAGTCACTATAAAATGCATTATCACGTTAGTCCTTAGCGAAAAGCATAACAGTGCCTTTATTGAGAAGATGCCACCGTACAGTTTATATCTCACGACGATTGATTCATATATATATTTTTGTTCAAATTGATCTGTGTATGCGCTTAACACTTTGATCGTTACGAATCATATCTACATTTTCTTGGGAATTATGACATTTAGACAAACGTATTCTTCACTCACCTAGATAGTTAAACCTGTCAAGACCATATATTGCAAACTGTATGTTGCATGTAAAGGGCTGTGTTCCAAAATTCATTGTCAATACTGAAAATCTGTAGTTACACTATTTTCGGCATTGGCAGTTTTGAAACACAGTCAACAAAACTTCAACACTAACCGAGCACAGTCTACTGTCGTTCCTAATATAGAAATGTATCAAAAATCGAAGCAAGTCTTGGCATTATGATATCATGATAGCAAGGTATACTCCATTTCTACTACATTTCTGTTATATTACGGCTGACAAGTCGTAATGGCAGAAACCAAACTTAAAGAGGACACAGTGAATAAGAATCTATTCTAAAATCATGATTAAATTGACTAGCATTTTGCTATCTGGGTCAACCATATAAATGATGAATGAGAATTAAATGAAAAAATCATGGTATCCCTAATAAATAAATTCAGTTCTATAATTCCCAGCGAGCAATATCTTTACGTATATATGTGTGACATAACGTTTCAAAGCGTTAAAATGAAAACAGAGTTGCAGATCGAGAATCAAATCAGAACTTTCGTCGCAGTGATCTGTATCGATTACGCAACTATATATAGACCTATATTCTGAAATTTCTGGTCCTATTTGTTATTCGACGTATTTAGAGTCATTAAGAACGTAACGCATTGAATTGTAACGTGAAGGTGTGTCATTTTCTTCAAAGTCTGATCCTAAAAGCTAAGCCTGATTTATGTTGTATGTTAACGTCCTATTGTTGCCTAAGTGTCTATATCATAAGTAGCATACCAATTGATTCAGTATCCTTTTTTCCTTGTTTTTTTTAAATATATAAATCGTTCAGCCACACACACTCATCGCAAACACCATGCAAACTCAGACTGATATATATTTATTGTTTGTATTTTTTGATATTGTTTAATCTAGTCATACGTCAGCTATAACTGTAACATTTATATATCATGACTCCATCATGCTGTAATATAAAATACATTGTAAATAAATATGTAAGCTTGATTCATCTAGTGGTTTTAATTAAACACAGAATACTTGAAGATAAATTTATTTTCCCGTCAAGGTAATAAAGTTCACAATATCACATTTTTTTAATTCCTATTTTTCAACTTAGGATACATTTCAAAACGTTCTCTCCGAGGAAAATTTTCGAAATATATAATACAACGCACACACACACATATACTATGGTATATAGAAAATATTTCTATAGTATATAGAAAATCTTTCTTGAAGAGTACATGTTTTGGAATGTAGCTTCAATAGATAACGTATAAGATTATTAAATATACAATTATTTAAGCATTCGTTATAATTGGAATATACAATTTTAGGAAAGAGATATTTTATTTTGTTTAACAATGATATTGAATTGTTCGTATAAATTTTTAATTATAAAATATAAAATTCCCAGTAATTTAATCGATAATTAACTTACCAAATATCTGTAATAGTTTGTTATTTTGTTTAACATTGGAATTGAATCGTTGCATATTTATTAAATCAAGATATAAAATAATAATATTTATACGAATTATTTTAAATTATAAATCCTTTTTTTTTAAATATTCTTAAAGATAACTTCAATCAATAATTCTCAGTAATTTAATCGGCGATTATCAAATAATATCTGCAATATTTTGTTAAAGAATTAGCATGAATAGATTAATTTTTCTGTTTGATAAAACAGAAAAAAAGAGTAGTGGAGATCATAGACGGCAAATTATGTAGAAATTTCACTGCAAGTAATTCAAATCAAATAAAATTAATGAGAATTTGACCGAATAGCTGTCGTGCCGTCACGCTACGCCGTCTTTAAACAGACTGCTCTGGACTGCTCCGAGCCGAGCGACTATCACGATCACGCGGTCGCAAAGTAGTAAGTATACCCGGCTAGCGAGTAACGCGTAGGAGTTCACGTCCCTGAGTGTGCGAGAGAGACGGGTCGTCGGTGTGGGAGGGAGCGAGACACCGATAGGACGCTAGCTACTACACTCGCCACGGTGCTGGCTGCTACGGTGGTAGTGAATGGAACGCGGTATGCCGCACGTCCTCGCGTAGTACAACGCTCCGAACGCTCCGCGGGTGCCGCGCCACCAATGGCCAGCGAGTACGGGCGGTCACGTGACGCGCGTGCCGAGCCAGCAGTAGAACATTGCAAATGACAAGACGCGTAGAGCATTGTCGTCGCGCTGCCGTTGCCGCCGTCGTCGCCGTCGCCGTCGACCTATCGTACTTCTCGGGAATACCTCCGGCCGTCGCGCAGAAAATCATCCCCTTGGTAATAGCGCTTAGCGCAGGTGCCTCCACGTCGGGACGCCAGGCGTCCCTGAAGCAGTCCGTAGTCGTAATCGGTTGCGCGCGCGACTCATCAGGAGCTCCCGCGCCCTGAGAGAAAGAGCGGCCGCCAGCCAAGGAGGAAGCCGCCAGGTGCGCGTCCGGTTCGGTCCGCGCGTGCGGATCCGCGATTCGTCGTCGTCGTCACCATCGCCGTCGTCGTCGACACCGTTGTCGTTACGTGAAAGTGAAGAGAAGATGTCGAGCTCGCAGCGTATGCGAAAATCCTCGCCATGCTCGAAGCAGGGCCCGATGCGCGCCACCCTGCCCGTGAGCTCGCTGATGAGACAGGGCCGGCAGAGCAGCAGCCTCCGCAAGAGCAACAGCAACAGTCCCACCGTCTCGCCGACGAACGCGGCCGTCTGGCGGGCGCGCATCTCGCCGGAGACGTCGTCTTCCTCGGGACAGCGGAGCCCCGGATCCCTGTCCTACAAAGGTACGATCACCCCCCCCCCCTCTCCCCCTCCCCTCCTTCTGTGGACTTGTTCTTTGTGCTCGTGGAGTTTTGCTCGAGGAACACGTATTTGCACGCGTGACCCCGGAGTGGACACCGGAGTCGTTACCACGGACGAATATTTGTCCTAATGATGATGACTCCGGAGCTCGAAGGGATTACTGGTACTGTTCTTGTTACTTGTCCTTCGAAGGATATGTATCCCTGGAGATTCTGGTCCAGTTGAGAAATACGTAAATCCTGGAGTGCTCTGTGCAAACTTAATATTTGTTAAAGAAGCATTTTTCTCATAGGCCGTCTCTTGCATTACCATTGTCTAAGATATGTAAGTTGGAGAGTTGTGTTTACTGCAAGTGGGAGATGTTGTGTCTGATTGAAATATTTCTCAATCCTCAAATTGTTTACACTTTGACAAGGTTCTCTTTTTTTTTATTATTCGCGATATAGAATAAAAAAACATATAAGAGAATGATTCGTAAGCTATGTTTATTATCGTCTTTGACTCAGTAGCAAAAGTTTTCTATTATTGTTGAACCAAATTTACAAAATGATGGAAAATGTTTTTTTTTCATACAATTGAATTATTATTTTCCACATTTGTTTATAAATGTTGCCTGGTAAATATCTGAATTTTGTTTTTGTTAATATGTATTTACTATGTTATAACATCACGCTTATAACTTTGTTTATACTTAATTCATAGATTGTGTTTTGATTACTCACAATTATACATAATTATACACTTTTCAATTGTTTTGAAGAATAAGAATTTTTATTTTTGAGGAGCCTATAAGTAATTTACTCTTATTCCTGTATTGCTACATATGCATCACAACTACAGTAACCGAAGATACATTTTTAGTTCGGTTACACTATTATTTTCGTATTTATGTTTCTTATTATTTTATTTAACAAATACACTTATTAGTTTATTCCAGCAACCGAAATAATATACTTATAGTTCGGTCTGGTGCATGTGTATATATATCTTGTACCTTAATCTTACAGTTTACTAATTTCAGACTGGACTTCTTTATGTTATTGCCTTCTTACTTCTGTTTTTACCTCTATATTTTTAAATTAATATTATATATATATATATATATAAAGCCAGAGCATTCGACGGACAGCATCTCTAGATACTATCTATTTGAAAGGGCAATGGCCACGTGACTCCTATTACATGCATTCCAGTCTTCTGGTAGATAAATCCACTCAGGCGAGTAAACTTTGCTTCTTCCTAAGAACTATGTATAAAAACTTAAGTGATGTTATGTTTGTGTTACATAAAACTTATTTAGCATTTATTTCATTTAATTCACAATATCTTTTACTTTTATCATAGACGGAAGAATGTTCCAATGAGCCAAGAAAAATGCATACTCGTCATCCCACAGAACAAACTGTCACTGATGAGAAATTGGAGAAGAATTACTTCAGGCATCGGTATGTGTTTATATTATTGATTATGTCTTCTTTTTATTTTGTATGTTTATTGGAAAATCTACACGCTGTTCCTTATACATTTTTCTCGCAGATTACAACGTACAAATAAGGAAGGTACTAGCAGTAGAGAGCGAACAGCGGCATTCGGGCTAATAATGCCAGGTGGCCCACCACCCGCACTTCCTGGAGATCATTCGGTACTTTTGCCCAGTATTGCTTCACAGACATCCATGCGTAAGTAATTATCTGAAAGCTCTTTGTTCTTTACAAGATCAATTAAACAGTACGCATTTAATATATGTTATTTTTGTAGACAATCAATTTAGTTTGAGTACAAAAGCAAGTCCCATGAATATCCCAGTAAAACCAATAAGGCCTCCAATGCGTTCATCTATCGAAGGACTCAATCAGGAAATAGAAGGACTTGTGCTCAAAAATACAGCCAATAACAGTGATGCAGACCATCCAGTAGAAGACAAGGTAATGTACAAAATTACCAGTGTTATTAGTTAATAGAATTTGATATTTTAAGGCAGAATAAAAATTTTAATTTGCCATTTATCAATGTGTTCTTTGAAAAAAGATAGAAATCTTGTTTTGAAATGCACTTAAAATTGTGTTCCATCTTGAATATTATTTTTGCTATGAGTATTTATATCTATATGTAATGTTTTTTTATCTTGAATACTTATATTATTATTTTTAAATACTGAAAATGTGTGTACATTTATATCATTAATTACTACAAAATATCTTGTAAGATGATATAAAAGTTTCAAATTTACATTTTTCGCAAAATAGGAATTTTTAATTTAGTTTTTTAGGAATTTTTTTAGCCTTTGTTTTATATGAGATTTCGATGATAAATATGAAACTTTTCTTTCTTTAGTATGCACGATATCGCGAGCAAATCACACCCGAAGGACATCGCGCCCCTCTAGCAGACTTATTGCGGGCTACTCGGAGTGTCAACACACAAACACCGGCTACTGACCTTCCCTCCAGTTCTTATTCTTCAGGTAAATTATGCGATGATGTCTTTGTTGATTGATTTCGAAGTATACATGATGGTTGTACATAATTACAACGATTGTTACAAATATGCAACAGATTTGCAACTAATGAGCTCTTTAAAAAATAGCTGGGTAATGATAAAAAAATCATACTATTTTAACATTATATTTACTCTATACATAAAATGAATCTCTTAAGTGGAAAAGTAATAAAACTACGTAAAAAAAGAAGTGAAACATATCGAATCAAATTTCTCTACAGGAAAATTTATTTTCAAGAAAGTATAAAATTATATCGTATTAAAAAATTTTATCGCTAATCAAACAACTATAGCTTGTATATACACATACATATATTCTTTCTGGTTAAATACAACAATATAAATAACACACTAACTAAAGGTGTGTGCCTGTTGAGACAGGCCCTCCATCTAGGAATTCTGAGTCTCCGCTGATTCCTGGTGTTATGGATGCATCCCGTCCGCCTAGCGATCTCTTACAAGGTTGGAGCATTTGCGGAAAAATTTGATTTTTCGTTTTCACAGATCTCATTTAACAAATTTGTTTGTCTTTAATCCCTTCGATATTATTGATATTATACATTTAATGATTTATATGTATCTATACGTATATAAATATATATATATATATATATATG